TGATGCATCGTTGCCGTGAGAAGGATATCATCAACATAGAAATGGATACAGTTGTACGGATTATTCCGTGACATGAAAAGAACGAGGGATCGGCCGCACTAATGCGAGGACCTGAGCTAGTTGGAAGGTACTGCGAGAGTGAAGTGGATGTACAACTGACGAGGAGCTTAGGCGGAGACCGTAGATAGCTTTTTGCGCAATCGGGGCACACATGATTAGGATTTGTGGAATTCCTCAAATCCTTTTGGCTGCTTCATATAGCCCCTCATTTGAGGTGTAACATGCGAAGATGCAATTGGTTACATCATTGAAGAATTTTCCACTGTGAATAACGCGATTGTTGAAGAGAATACGGGATGTGGGAGCTTGGCGACTGGACTAAAGGTGGTCGTTGTAGTTCGAACCATGTTCTTGTTGGATTGCCATAAGTGCAACCAAACTCTAGCTTTGAACCGAGCCAGAAGCCTCGGAATTGTACTTAGTCCTGCGATAGGTCCATTTCGTGCCAGAAGAGCTGTTTGACGGAAGGGAGCGACGAGTTTCCCAGTGTTCCTGTTTTTGAAGAGCCAAAGAACTCTTCAGCCTAGCACGACGCCATCTTTTTTTTATCGTTTTCAACTTTTTGCTTGGGCCTCAGATGTTGAGGTGGGATCTAAACTGGATTGCTCTTTATGTAATAAATTAGTTTTTGATTTGGTTTGAGCGACCCAGTTGACATCGGGTAGTTCATATGATGTTTGGATGAGGAGACAGCCGGTATGTTTTGGAATCAACATAGCAGAAGTGGATGTGATTTCAGGTTGGTAGGGAGGTTGCATAGCTGAGAAACATTGACGTTGTTCGGAAACTTAGAGTTATTCTGCCTCCGTGAAGGACTGATATTCAGGCGGTAACCCGTTCAGGATATAGATGATAATGTCTTCGGGATCGACCGAAGAACCCGCCGAGGCAATCTGATCTACTATTTTCTTGATCTCAGTAAGGTACTGAGTCATAGTAAGATTCTGCATCGAGACATTGTGAAGCTCGTGCTTAAGCTGAATTACTTTAGATCGATTGGACGATTGGAACCGAGTATGAAGCGTAGACCAAATGTCGTGCGTGGATTCAAGATGAATCACATAGGGAAGAACCGACGGAGCGATGGTAGAACACATGGCGGTTGCAAGATTCTGATCCGTAATGGACCAGATTTGAGGATCAAGATTGGGATCTGCATTTTCGGACGCAGATTTGGATTCAAGAAAGGCGGCGAAACCATTTGCTTTGAAAAGCTTGGCGATCTGCGTACTCCAGATGGGAAAATTTTCTGGGCTTAACGCATGGGGAACAAGAAATTTCATATTAGAGATAACGAACTTGAGCGACGGTGAAATTGCCGGAACCGATGACGCGCCGGTCGTGGTAGCGGCTGTAGACGACGAAGAAACAGTGGAGTGAGACGCCATGGCCAGGTCTTGAGAACTGGAAGACTCTTGATACCATGTAGAAATTCTTATTCTAGCCTTGAACAACAAGAACTCATTTGAGGAAGAAGATGAACAGTAAAAGCAAAGTAATGATGTATATTTTCTTGTCTTTACCGGTTACAGAGTAGATCCCTAAATAGACATCTAAGAGGGACTTTACACGTGTGACCACGTTACTGGTTTACAAGAAATAGAGAGATAAAGGGAATTGCTGACTGTACATCTTATTTAAATACACTAACAAAATATATATAGATTTTTTTTTGGTAGAAAATTGCACATTTGAAAAAAATAAAGTTGTTGTGGGCTAAAGTATTTTTAGATGTAAAGTATGAAAAAATTCATGCCTTAAAGTTGCATGGATATCCAGCACATATACAAAGGAAAAAAGAAACACTAAAAATTTTTATGTAAAAAACACTGAAGGGAAATATCATGGGGTCACACCCAATTAAAATGATTTAACAAGTGTTTGAATAAATTATAAATGATTGGTTTGTTCTAAAAATTGAGGAAGATCAAATTACAACAGTCAACCGTCGGGTTGAAATCTAGTGAGGAACGAACATCGAACGGAAATCCAGTGACGCTCGGTGGTCGGGCGGAAGCTCGACTTCTGTCAGTGGTCTGGCAGAAGTCTGGTGATAGTCCGACAACATTTGGAGGGCGAGCGGTGGTCAAGGAGGAGTCTGGTGGCAAGAGAATGCTAGTTTCTCTTTCTTCTTTCTATCCCATCTTTTCCTTGCATCCTCTCTCCTGGCTTGATCTCCTCTCATGTGAAATATGAGGGCTCTATTTATATTTTTTTTAGGAGCGGCATGGTCAGCAAATATGACAGAGATCAAGAGTATGTTAGGAGTGGTTTGAATGGATGGTCGATATTGATCCCCTTGATCTTTATGCTAGTTGGATTCATCTCGTCGAGCCTCTTGATTCGACTATGAGCATGTCACGTTTGGAAATTGCTTTGTCATCTAATTTATGGTTAGAACTTTAGAAAGGCGCTTCGGGTCATTCAATTTGGACCCATTTGGGCTCATGTTGAGTTAACTTTGGTGTCGTTGGGTTCATCTTTTCGTTCAGTTTGACTATAAGTTTGTTGAGATTGTAGTTCATATAATTTTGATTTTAATTTCAAAAGTTTTCAACTTGATTTTTCTTTGAGATTCATGCCTGATCATGAACAATTTTTGATGATATATTATTTGCCCACTATTTTCTCGTGTTGAAGCCCCAAAAGTTCAAATATATGAGTCATAACTTTTGAAGAACTCCTAATGTGGTTCAACATTTTAGAATGGGTTGATCATGTCACTAGAGTTCTTAATAGTTCCAAAAGTGTCAAATTTGAGTCTGAAATGTCGAAAAATGGTTACATGGACCCAAAAAATGTATGAATCAGATTGTTTAGACAAAAAATTGGGCTCGAAAATAGACTGGGCCAAACTAGCCGATCGACCAACGCCGGCGTGCTATCTGCCTCATGCCGCTACTCGCGCGCGCGCCAGCACGCCTGCCTGGCTACCCACGCGTTTGTGCGCGCTTGCTTGCACCTGACCGGGCGATCTAGACGGTGTTTGTTCGGCATCGCACGTCGATTAGCGTGCCAACCTCAACCGACCAACTACGACTAATTTTTTAATATATATTATTTATTATATTTTTAAAATCAATATTTTATTATGATTTTTTATTTAAAAATTTTCAAAAAATTTATACATTCCTCTTTTCTCCCCCATTTGCACCAATAAATACCCCCTAGGATAAGGGAAAAATGCATCTTTCTTTCTTCTCATTTCTTCATCTAATTTTCTTACAATTGATGCCTTTCATTCTCTTGAATAAGTGGCATCCCCTATCATGTACAAGTGCCCATCTCTTGGGTAGAAGTTAGAGTTTTTAACTTTCCTCACTCACTCTTCCTCATTTTCCTTCTTATGTTAAACTCTTTTCATTATTTTTGATATTGGTCATCCATTGAAACACTTCAAACATGCCCTTGATTTTTTCCTTATTTATTAGCCATGCTACTCCAAAAAAATTATAAATAGACCCCTCATTCTTCACTAAACTTAGGGAGGAGCCAAGAGAAATAAAAGATGAGAGAAAGGGAAATATGGGAGCTCTCTTTCCACCAAACTTCTTGACCATCTCCCGGCCACCGATCATTGTCAGACTTTCGCCCTACGACTCACCTTCGTCAAATTTCTGCCCAACCATCAACTGCTTGCCGACTATAGTCCATCCGATCATTATCACTTGACTATGATCTTTCTGATCACTGTTGTTTGCCGGCTACCATTACAGAAAAATCTCGTATTTATGATGGAATTTTCTGAAGTTTCAGTCGAAATTTGAAATTTTCCTGCGGATTTCTTGTGAAATCGTTTTCGATCGTAAATGGAGCATTAGAAAATTTTTCCGTCGAAAAAATACGTCAGAAATTTTTTTCCATCAAAATTCTTCCGCCGGAAACATTCTCCGGTGGAAAAACTCCGCCGTTATAAATAAAACGTTTTTAAAAGATAAATAAATCCCCGGCAGCAGTAACCATCCTGCGGCCATCCCGTATGCATATCAACGCCCTTGCCTAGCGGGGCATCCCACCGCTGGTGCTGCCTAGTAGTTATTTATAAAATAATAAGTTAAAGATAATAATAAATAATTAAATAATAATTATTTTAACAACTAAATTTTAATTATTTAAAATTATATTAAAGTTATTAAATTAATAATGAATTAAAATATTTTATAAAATTATTAATTAATGAAATTACAAATAGATAATCTTTTTAAGAAATTATTAAAATCCGTTGGAAAATCCGTCGGAAACAAATTCGTCGAAAATTCTTCCTTAAAATCTGTTGGAAATATTTCATTTTTATCCGTCGGAAAGCCGCCGAAAAATAGTCCACCAAAAATTCCGCCGATAATGGACGATTTTCCTGTAGTGTACGATCCACTCCGACTACATTTTCCCGACTATAGTCCACTCTGACCACCTTCGCTCATCGACTACAATCAACTCCAACCACCGTTTCCTATCAACTACGATGTTTTTTACTACCATTGCTCGTCGATTATGATTAACTCCTACCACTATTACCACCCGACTACGGTCCACTTTGACCACCGTCGCTATCCAACTACGATTCTTCCGACCATCGTCACCCACTGACTACAATCAACTCCTACCACCATCGTTTGCTGACTACGATCCATTATGACTACCGTCATTGCCAACTACGATCAACTCCAACCACCGTCAAATGTCGATTACAGTCTACTCCGATCACCGTCAAATGCTGACTACAGTCCACTCCAACCACCGTCACCCACCGACTACGATCCACTTTGACCACTGTCGCCCTCCAACTACAATCTTTCCGACCACTGTTACTCATTAAATGCAGTCAACTCCTACCACTGTCGCCCGCCGAGTACGATCCATTATAACTACCATCGCCCGCCAAGTACGATCCTTCCGGCTACCGTCGCTTACGGACTATGATCTCTCTACCATCATCGCTTGTCGACTATGATCCACTCCAACCAATATCGCTCACCGACTACGATCTTTCTAACCTCGGTCACCCCAAATACAATCCTACTAATCAAATAGACATGTCAACATTTTCTTAAGAACAACTACCATGTAACGAGCTTTATATGGGTATTTGCTACATAAAACCTTCCTTCTAAGGAATGACTTTATTTGTACTCAACTATCAATACTAGAGGATTCATTCAAATTGGGCTAGGCCCTATGATTTTTCTCTCTTTTCAGGATTTTCCACGTAAAAAATTTGGTGTCTCTTATGAACGCAACACCTCTACTCTCTTATATTTTTGTGTGCTGGATCTTCATGCGAAGTTAAGACGATAAATTATATATCTCTCTACTATTGCAAATTTCTAGGACACAATAGTAGTATTGATTATACTAACACCAATTAATGTTGCTCATGCAATTATGTTTTGTTTGAATATTTTGATTAAGACATATATCTTTTTTTTTTCTTTGTGTGCGTGTGGAGATTTTTACACATTTGAGCTTAATACTAACATGGGCAAAATATGTAATAACTAAAAATGATTAATGTTTGTTTGATAAAGATTTTTTTTTTAAATTATGCTTTGTTCTCTTTTATCATTATGAAGTTTCTTTACAAGATTATACTTCATCATGTAATATCTATAGTGGGGAATAATGGAAATTATATATTTCATATTAATAATTTATTGAGCATAAAAACAAATTTATGGAGTGCAGTGTCATACTTTTTGCAATTTACCCCATGCCATTGTATTAGTGTCATGCCCATCTCCATTCTTCATAGTTTATGAAAGTTTAGTATTTATAAATGTGTATTACATGATCGATACATCAATAAAAATATATAATTAATATTTTCTCATAAATATTAAAAAGAAAATCAAGTGTAGATAGGGCTAGAACTTGTTTAAAAAAAAATTAAAAAATGAGATTAGCACTACATATGATTAGAGGTGTCAATATTTGACATGACACGAAAACCCGACCCGGACCCGACCCGAAAAATCCGGGTTGGACCCGACCCGGTTTCAAAACGGGTCGGGTTCGGGTTGACCCGGCGGGTTGCCGGGTCAACCCGAAAACCCGTTTATTTTTGAATTTTCCCGCTCCTGCCCGCTGCCCGCAAAGCTGCCCCGCCTACCCGCGCTGCCCCGCTGCCCAGGAACTGCCCGCGAAGCTGCCCGCTCTGCCGCGCCTGCGCCACGCTCTTCGCCCGCCCGCCTGGCGGCCCCCTGCCGCGCTCGCACCCGCAGCGCTCCGCACCAGCCACACTCGCCTGCTGCTGCACCCGCCGCGCTCGGACCCCGCCTCGCACCCGCCGCGCTCGCACCTGCCGCGCTCGGACCTGCCACGCTCGGACCCGCCTCGCCACGCGCGCATCCGCTCGCCGGCGCACCCGCACACCCGCTTCCGTGTCTGGTCGGGTCAACCCGGACAACCCGCCGGGTCGGGTCCGGGTTCGGATTTTGACCCGTTCTCTACCCGGGTCGGGTTAGGGTTCGACCCGTTTTGCACTCGGGTCAGATCGGGTTCGAACCGAACCCGATCCGTGACCCGAAATTGACACCCCTACATATGATACTCGGCATGAATGAATTGAAAGAGAGTTTTTTATATAACAGAATATTAATAAGGATTCATATTTTTTTATTAATTTAATTTGAGCAATTATTTAATTTTAATTTTTTTAATTTAATTTGAGCAATTTTTTGATTTATTAGAGAGATTTAGGGTTAAAAATGTCAAATCAAATGTGAAATGACACGAGAATGTCCATAAGACATTCAAAATCAGATTTAAAAACTGACAGAAAGTCTCAAAATTCAGAAAAATGGCAACAATATTGCCTGGGTATTGGCACGCACAAAAAAAGGGCAAAATTCAATGTTTGCTATCGATAAAATTTTGACAAGAGAGTCAATCCGATTTTAAAATAAAATTTTTATTTATAATTTTTATAATTTTTTGAAATTTAATCTAAAAATTAAAATTTTTGTTATTTTTAGTTATAATTGATCTAAAATTATTTTCAGTTATTGTTGCGTCCTGGAGTATTCGCGATGGTAGAGAAATATTTAGTTTAACGTCTTAGCATTGTACGAGATCCAGCACACCAAACAGATAAGTGAGATGGTGTAGCATTCATAAGAGACACCAAAATTTTTACGTGGAAAACCCCTAAAAAGGGGGAAAAACTACGGGGCCCTGACCCAGTTTGAATGAATCCACTAGTATTTGTAGTTGTTACAAATAAGACTCTTTCTTGGGAGAAGGCTTGGATTGATGTAGCAAATGTACATCATGCAGATTGCATTACATAGTAGGAATTACATATACATGTTTGTCTGGTCGGAAGGACCGTAGTCAGCAGGAGACTGGAGTCAGAAAGACCGTTGTCTGTTGATGGAGGTCGGAAGGAACATAGTAGGCGAAGAAGGTCTGAAGGACCGTAGTCGTAGGAGACTGGGATCTGAAGATCGTTGTAGTAGGGCGGTACTTTGGTAAGAGCTCTGGACGTCAGGTAGTGGCCCAGCAAAGTTCAGGCCTCAGGTTGTGTTCCGACAAAACAACGGCGTAAGGTGGTAGTCTAGCGGGAGAGAGCCTTGGCGAAGATGAGGGGCTCTGATGAGAGTTGAGGGCCTCAGGTGAAGGTGAAGGCCTCAGATGTTGGTGAGGACCTTTGACGAATGTGAGGGCTTATGGAGAAGGTGAGGGCCTCAGATGAGGACGTCAGGCCTGAAAGTCAGGCCTTGAGCAGAACGTTGGGCATGAATGTCAGGCCTTTAGTAGCACGTTGGGCCTGAACGTCGGGCCTTGAAATGGTTGTCGGCGAAACTCCGACGTGGTCCGGCGAGGCTCTGAAGGTGGTCCGACAGGCTCCGGCGTGGTCGACGAGGCTCCTGCGGTGGTCCGGCGAGGGCTCCTGCGGTGGTCCGGCGAGACTCCTGCGGTGGTCCGGCGAGGTTCGGCGGTGGTCGAGGAGGAGCTTCTTCCTTCTCCTCTTCCTTCTCTTCTTGCTTGAGTCTTTTTCTTGTGAAGAATGAGGGCTCTATTTATAGATTTTCTGGAGTGGCATGGCCCGTAAATAGGTGTGAGATCAAGGGTGAATAGGGAGTGGTTTGAATGGACGGCTGATAGTGAACCCTTCGATCGTGCACCGTTTGTTGGACATTTGGAGGCCTTAATGATGTCGGAATTCTGTGATCTTGGGCTTGTTGGACTCGTCTCGTCGAGCCGTTCGATTCAAGTATAAGCTCGTTAAAATCGGAAGACCGTTGGATACTCAAATTGTGGTTTGAACCTTCCAACAGCGCTTCGGGTCCATGATTCGGACCCATTTGGGCTCGATTGGGTCGAATTTGGTGTCAGTTGAAGTTCGTATTTTCGAGACGCTCAGTTCGGGTATAAGCTTGCTGAAATCGGAGTTCGGGTGCTCTCGGAATTAATTTTTGAAGTTTCCAACTAGCTTTTGCCTCGAGATTCGTGCCCGATCAAGAAAATTTTGTGATTCCGTATGAGTTATATATATATACATATATTTTCTCGGACCTATGGTTGGTCCTTTTTGCTGAATTTAAAAGAACGTAATTGGACCTTTATGTTATTTTCATAAAAAAAAAAAAATAGGGGCAAAAGTGGAAATTCTTAATACCTAAAGCACTAACCTAATATTCCCAAATCAAATCACGAACCTCACCCTTACCCTTCTCTCAAACTCACGCTACAGCGCCCGATCACGCAGCTCTCGCTCTCTCCTCTCGCGCACGAGCCGACCCCTTGCCTCTTCTTCACTCGAGCAAAGCCCCACGATCCAGACACCGTCGCTCGACCAACCCGACGCCGCCGCCACTTGCATTCCACGCCGCTGTTACCTCCTTCCAGCTGGCCGAAACCATCACGCTGCCGCCCGTTTGAAACCACCATTCCGGTTCTTCCCTCCTTCCATCTCTTCCACTCACTTCTTTCACTCCTTTCTCTCCCCTACACCTTCTTCCTCACGAAATTTCTTCCTCCTCAACCTCCATTTACTCTCATAACTGAACATTGCAATATACAGTAATTCCGAGCTCCCATTGATTATCATTCCAAATATTTGGTTCGGATTGTCATTTGAACGTGCTATTAGCCATTCGACCAGGCATCTCTTCTCAGGTTTATACATTTCATCTTAATAAAAGCATAATAGATATTTTACATTTATGCATGGAGTTATTTAATTGAATTGTGTATTGGATTGAACATCATGATGTTTCATTAGTTTTGTATTATGTCAAAACTTATAATCATCACACTGCTTAGACTTATCCCTAGTCAAAGGAATGTTGCTATCAAACGTTTCACTTGCTCTTCTCCTCATTCCCTCTCTACAGAACACTATCAGTTTATGGCTCTCTCTCCCTCTCCTCTTTATTTCTCCATTTAAAAAATCTGAGAGATAGAAGGAATGCTATCATCGTTCCAATAGCTTCTCCACTTCCACATAAATGCCCTCAACTAAATTTCATTCTCTGTATAAAAAAGATCTGAGAAAGGCAAAGTGCCCTTTCTACACCACTTTCAAATCCCCTTCCCCAAAATCACCACCCATCAAACTTCTCTCTTTTGTTTCTCTCTCTAAACATACTGAAAGAGAGATTTAATATCTCTAAAATCATTCCAAATCTCTCGAAACACCCACCCAAATCCTTCCTAAGCCTCACCTCACCCATAGGCAAATATTCACCTAAGTCTATGAGGTACCCATGGATGATGCAACTCATGACTGCCGATAAGGATCCTTCGGCCAGGTTCGGCCAACTATCTCTTATGACTAAGTAAGCTAGGGACCATGACAACCAGAGATGACGGAATCATGAGATATTGATCGGGCCCATTATCATTCCCCTATCACCTGCTTTAAGTACACGGTGATACATTTCAAATATTGAAAACTATAAAAATCTAATTTTTAAACCCTGAAAATTGTTGCTTCTATACGCCTGGTACTTCTTGCATATGTAATGATTAAAGTTAATCGAATGTTCTCTCTTATTATCGAGAGGGGTAGTTAATCATAAGGGGCTTGTGCCTATAGGAAACCAGACCTTATCTTTGGACAATGCCTTATCTAGATCCAATATGCCTACTAAAAATTTACCCCTGAACTTAATTCATTAAAACTCTCCCCGAAAGGTTGGGGCGTGAATTTTTAGAGCCCTATATATATATATATATATATATATATATATATATATATTAAATGAAGAGAATGATGAGATATTTTCATTAATACATTTGATTAAACTATATTATTCCACTAGATTCAATAATCAGCATTTCTTTCTTTTTCTAAGAAGTGAGTTGTTTTTAAAAACACCAAACATTTAAAAGTTGTATGAGTGTTTTAAAAAACAAAAAAGAAAAACATATAAAAATACACTAAAGAAACATGCTTCTGAAAACAAAAGTGATCACAAATGAGCTTTCAGTCTTGTTTTTTGGGCATGAATACTCTAATGATGGAGAGAAAGGGCAACGAACAGCTTACCTAATGCTAGTAGTAGATACAACTATTTATTTCTCACCTGTTTTTTTTTTTAGCTGACGAGACAAAACTATCCATTTATTTCTCACCTGTGCTACACTTTATTTAAAAGAGTTAGTTGTGTAGGCTGAAGCTGTATAAATTGAGACATTTTTTCATCATGCATGTTTGGTGGAATCCTTTTTGTGGCTGAAAAAGATGGTTTTTATTACTTTTAAGGAACTTGGCTGCCAACCTTAGTTACTTTATTACCGTTGCTATACCTTTGTTTATTGCTGCCTAACGTAAATTAAAGTAGTCTGGATTTTGTTCTAATATATCTATTCATTGCCTTCCTTTTTTTCTACTAGCTTGTTTTATTGGCATTTGTAGGATTATTTTACCCTTGGTTACTTTAGGGAACTGTTTGATGGCTTTGTTTTGTTATTGCATTGAGACAGGTGTCAAGTGAAAACGAGACTAATACTTGTGTCTGCTTGTTTGCGCCTTGTTCTACCTTAGGCCTTAAGGCTTTGGTACAAGAATTCTTTGAAGAAATCCTTCTACCTCCATTATACAACCACATTTGTCTACTTCTGCTTCACCATAGGCGTAGGAGAAGTTATGTTGCCATATAGCTGTTCACTTTCTAAACGGGATAAGGTTTACAGACATATGAGAAAATATCTTGAGCTCATACTCAACTCCCAAAGTGTAATGGTCTTAGATTTTTGAGAACCTTTCTGAGCCTAATCGACTTCCTCTAGGAAGCTCCAGAATATGTATAGATATCTGTGAGTTGACTCAGAGATCAATACATTCCTTAAAAAAAATTAGAGATCTTTCTAATTTGTATTGTTTGGTATCAGATCAAGAACTTCTTGTCGAAGGCAGATGAATCTTGGGAAAGTTACAAGAGGCAATGAAATAGTAAGCCAATATTTTGGTTTCCTTCTTTTGGTTTGGATGCATGAGCTAGTATGGTTTCTTTTGATTGTTCCGGATTGTTCTTATTTAGAGAGTCTGTTGTTGGACTTTTTTAGGTGTGGAGGAATGGCCGTGCTAGAGTGCAATCATCTCAAGCTTTCTCTTATTTATGGGGTTTGTTGAAATCTTCCTCCTTTTGTTCCCTACTTTATGGCTTGTAACTGAAAAGTAAAAATTTTGTACGTTATTTATTGGAACGGATATCCAAATCATAACTTTGGACTATGACATATTTAACTTCCTTTCATGCTAATTTGCAATTTGAATAATTGAAATATACTTTTTGAATGGCCTAACACATTAGAGAAGTACATTGCAGTAATGTCCTAGGACTATTTGGAGTTATATTAATCAGTGAATAGCTGAAACTTTGTTACCCTCATACTGCAGATTTCCGCCCGTTTGGAAGTACAAACAATTCAGGAACTCGGGATGCACAAATTCAAATAATTAATGCTCTTCGTTTGGGGCAGAGAAACAAAGCACATGAGTTGCTCGTTGATCTTAGTTGTATGAGTAACTCTTCAAATGTTGAGGATTTTGATTATATATTGGAATATTGCGCACGAGCTCCTGATCCACTGGTGAGCTTTATGATTGCCAAAATTATATGGGTGTGTTGATTTCACAAAATTTTGAATGAATTCTACTCATAAAGTGCTCATTTCCATTACCTTTTCATGAAGAAATTTATTTGAAATAACTTGTCAATAATGATTTTTTATCTAAATCTCTGTGAATTAATACTGAGGTTCGAATCATAAAACAAATAGGATTTATGAGGCTGAATGGTATCTTGATAATTTAATTAATGAGCACCTTAAAGTTGCCTAATTAGTCATCATTTAATTAGATGCACAATATGAAATTAATTTATTAGACAAAGTTCATATGACGGAGGAGTTGGCTAGCTACTTAAAACAATATTTTCTTTTTTCACCAAAATGTTGGCTTTTTGGCCTGTGCAAAGACTATATGGGATGTTTAGTGGCATTCTAAATTTATCATGGTCTATTCTACTAGAATTCCTTGCCTCGAAATGTGTTGGTACAAGTTTACTTGCAGTTTGATGAAAGTGCACATTGAAAATACTTTTTTTTTTTATTTTCATTTATTGAACATTTGAATCCCATTGTTTCCTAGGAGATTGAAATCCAATATGCTTCTTTGTCATCATCTATGTAGTTATGCTTCATTCTTGCGCTTGTACATTTCTTTATCACCCGTTAATAGCATATCAAGCATATAACTTTGGTCTATAATGAACCCTTAAAAGTGAGTTTTTATTTTTCTCTCAATAAATTAATGTTGTCTTTGTTTGCAGTTTGTTATGGAGGCATGGAAAGTTATGGTGAAAAATGAAATAAATATGAAGAAGAAATCATATAGATGCATCATTCTGGCTTTCAGTAAAGGAGGATACTTTAAGGAGGTGATGGATAATTTAATAAAGTTAGTACTTTGCACATTTTGATAAGTTTTATATCATTTGTGTTTAATGTTAATAAAGTGTATCCTAAAACACTTTAGTGATGTTTATAGAACTTGGCATATCTTTTACTGTCAAAACCTTCATTTTTTATATTTTTCTTTTTTAGTTAAGTGCTTGGAAAACAATTCATAGATAGAATGCTCCTTTGGAAATGGTCTTACAAACTTGGTGACTTCAGAGCTTTTGAAGATTATCTAGTTTCCATTGATTCAATATTTTAGGAAATCCTCAACTCTCCGTGATCAAGCATGGAAATATATTTTTCCACTTAAACTCAAATATTTATGATGTAAAACATATATGAAAACAAGAATTGTTTCGAAAATTAATAATAATTTGAAGAAGCTTTGTCAATTGTAAACCTTATGTTTCACCAAGTTAGATTCTTGAATTTTCAATTAGAAGTGATGTAATAGCATACAGTTACAAACAAGATTAAAAGGATTCTTGCAAATAACAACAAAATAAATAAGTAAAACTAACGGCAAGGGATAACAAAAATCCTCGGCTTAACAATTAGAAATGTCTACCTTGAGTTTTCTCACTCTCACTCCTAAAAGTGGTGTTTAGCAGAGAAAGATTAAAAGTAAACCTGGTGATGCCACCACGAGACAAGCGATGCTTAAGATATTGTTCGCCAGAGAAGTAGCCGGAGGAGGGGAAGTTGATGGTCGTCCGATGATTTGCCACTGTCCAGTTGGTCGTTGCTCGTCGATCGTCTCGGCTAGATGATAGAGTATGCGATCTACGTAGCTTTCAACAGAATGTTCAAACTCCTAGTCGGGATCAAAGAAGGGCAACTGAAGGTTGTCGATTTGTCCTTGAGAGTTGCATGCAAATCCGTGGTCGACTTCAGGATCGGCCATTCATGGAGGCAACGTCGACTTGTCGGACTTGATCCTTGAGAGGATTTGATTTGGAGGAGAGAAATTATGAAAGTGTGAGGCAAGGGGAGGATTTCGGCTAGGTTAGGGTGGGGGCAAGGAGGTTGGGAGAGGGAAGAGAAGAGAATGACTTAGAAAAATCTGAAATTAATTTCAGATTTTTCTAGGATAGGGAAAGAAGAGATTTTGAAAATAGGCAAGGGGAAGAGGGACAACAGTTAGAGGGGATTATGGGGATTTAATTTGGGCTTGGGGATTTAATTGGAGAGAGATGCGGCATGGGCAAGGGGGGCCGGCGGCATATAGAGAGAGGAAGAGTGATTTTGGGGAGAAATTAAAAGCTTTCAAGACAAGCTATTTAATTTAGGAAGTGAGTTATTAAATCAAATCTAATTTAAATTTAAATTAGACCTAGATTTAGGAACTTTCTTAAATTAGAACTTGTAATTAAGGAAAGTAATTTTAAATTCTTTCCTTTCTTGCTTGAGCTAATTTAGGGAAGTAATTATGATGATTGGACTCATCATTATGGCGGTGGAGATGGAGTTTGGACCGGCGGCAATGGGGGAAGGGGTAAGGGGGGCGTCGAGTAGGAAAGGGAGGAGTGGATTGGGATTGCCGTCAGCTTGGGATGATAGGGATGGGTCCAGCGGGTTATGGGGGGAATGGGAAAGGCTAGGGAGGCCTTTGGCCGGCGGCAAGGAGGAAGGCCTATGGGTGGTGGTGGGTATAGGAGGAAGGACAAGAAAAGAAAAGAAAAATAGAGAAAACCAATAGCTCACCCGAAGGGGCTGTTGGGTACTTCGTTTGAGCCTCTCCTAGGCTTCACCTCTCCTCTCAAGAGCTCACAAACAAGGACTCAAATTCTAAAAATTTTATTAATTCATCATTAACCTCATACAAAGCAAAGACCTCTATATATAGGCCTCAATAATAAATAAAAGAAGAAAGACTCAAATGCCCTAGGGGCTATAATAAGAACTCACTACCCATAGGGGTAAAATAGGAAAACTGAAATGCAAAATAAACAAAACATAAAATACATCAAAAGTAAAGGTTCTGAATCGTAGCCGTCGATCTACGATTCTGTCGATGGTACACATGTCAAAATCTCTGGCTGATGTCCTCATCAATTTATTATTGGATTTATACCATCACAAACCAACTTTATTCTTTCTTTATACCTCGACATTAACTATCTCACAGAGTTGTTGTCTCCTTTGTTTTATTATATGGTCTAGATTATTGTTGTAGGATCACAGTTCTGTACCCTAAGTGAAAAGATATCTCATCTAAACTACTAAAGAATGAGGGTATTTTGAACTTGGTTGATGCCTAAGTTGGCATGTACCACTTCTATAAGATGCATTAATTTTTTTTTTGTTAAATTAACTTGATTTGATGTATTTCAATTTTTTTTTCTAGTAGCAGTCTTATGCTACTGTTTTATTAGATTGTAGAGTGTTTTGATGGTTCTAGTTATGTTCAATCTTAAAAAAAAAAAAAAAAAAAAAACATTTGCTCCTAACGCATCTCTGTTATGTGCATTGCTTCCTGTGGGCTGGGGTTGTCTTGGCCTAGCAAGGCTTTGTTTTTTGCGCTATTGAGCCCTCATTTTTGAGTATATTACATGTTCGTTGCTTCCATTCTTGTTGCTCATGGATGTGAGAATCTCCTCATGTTCGCTTCTTTAACATCGAGGCATCAAGGCCTCGATTTCCTACTTGTGCTTGGGGCTTGGATCTTATGTTCCTCTGATGATTCCATTCTTACATCTGTCATCAAGCTAGATCACTTTCCTTAACTTTTGATCGAGTCAATGTCCTGTTTCCATCCTTCTTATCTAATATGGAGCTCTCTTATGTCATGTCTCCTCTTTTGCTATCATTTCTCTAGATTTTCTATCCACTCCTGCATTTTTTCTAGTCCCTTCATGCTAGGAATCTTTGGATACAGGGGTAGAACCTCCTTAGGGTGAGTGGGGGGGCAATTGCCCCCCCCACCCCCCTAAAAAAAAATTATTGCATAGTTCTTTAGATATTTTAGTCTTTATTATAAGAATTTTTAAGCAATTGCCTCCCCTTTCTCCCCTAAAACTTTAAAAATACTATGATATTTAGGCAATTGCCCCAAATAAATATTAAAGAGCATTCATCATTTTTATTTTTAAATTTGAATTCCAAAAATATCCTTAAAACCAAAATTTGCTCCGGGGGGCGTTTGTGAGACCTCTTTCCCTTACTGTTCCTCTATGATTTGGACTTTGTAAGCTCATTATATGTGGTTTAAATTTTCAGGTCCGAGCAAGGCAACTGGAATGGAGTTCGATCAGAATGTCAGACGAATCCTTTCACTATTTGATTCTGGGGCATCATAGCGTTGCCCCTGGAAACCCCCACAGGGGTGTTGCCCCTTGACCCTGCAACTTGACCGAGCAGGTCGAACCCCGCCAGGGGGCGCTGCCCCCTTGCACCCCCGACAATTACTTATAAATTTGCCCCCTTGAAAATTAAGGCTGATTCCGCCCCTGTTTGGAGATGGTCGACCTTGATTTCTTCTATCAGATCTCTTCATATGCTGGTGCTCAGCCTCCCAAGGTTGCTATTCCCTATTCTTTTGTTGATGTTGTGAGGAAGGGCTCCTCTCAGTCATTCCAACCTCCCAACTCATCATTATTCCCTCATCATGACATAGATATTACTTGCCTCAATTTGGCCACTATCTATATCGTTAAAAATCCCATATTCTCGAAAGTAGAGATTTATAATATGTTAGATCTTTTCCTACACCTTGAAAAATTCCCATTTGGTGGCTCGATCTGGGAGGTTATTTGATTTTTCAATGTCCAATCTTCGTCTATCAAGATATTCTTCTTTGATCTTCTTGATAGGCGCCATGTGTTTCTCAGATTATCATTGGACATTGATTATTATGTGTTTTTCTCTAAACGTTCCTATTATGTGAATGGATTATAGACATGTATATTAAAGTGGTCTCCATTCTTTGATGCTTATGAGGGACCCCTTATTAGCCTTGTTGTGTTGCTTTCCTTCATCTCAAGCTTCATTAGATAAACTAGTCCACACTATGTTCCTTGGGTTTTATTTTGGCAAACCATTACATGTGGATGCTGTTACTGCTAGACTCTTGAGACCATCTATGGCCCGTGTCTTGTTGAGATGGACATTTCCCTTTGACTTGAGAGATATGGATTGATACTTCATCATGTGGATATTGTCGAGTTTAAAGATTTTCTCTTATATTGCAAATCTTTATTTTTTTACAATTTTATTGTGTTTCAAAGCTCATCTGAAATTAAGGAAATCATCCTCAAAGGTTCCATCTGTTGAGGTTTTCTCTTTTGATATCTTTATGTACTCATAGAATTAATGTGCATTAAATACTTATGATCAATTGGGGTCTTCTATCTTGTTGAGTGCTACTTCCTTTGACTTGGCTCCCTTGGTATACTAGTATGATTTGAATATTACTCTAGAATCATCTTTTGATTGAGTGCCTTCTCTTTCCTTAATGGTTTGTTGGCTCGTAATACCGTCTCTATTTCTCCTGTTTTGAAAGTTTAGTCTACTAGTTTATCTAGAGTCATACTTGGGTCAGGCACTTGCCAGCCTATTGAGGATCTTGCTATTGCTCTTACTATTTTCCCTCAGCTCAAAATTGCAATCATTTTCACCTATGCTTCATGAGATTATTATGGAGTGGAGTATTTTAATAATTATAGTTTGGTTCGATCTCAAGATTCTATTGTGGATTTAGTGGATGAAATATTTCAATTAGTATTATCTCGGTCCAACATTAATCGGAAGAAAATATTTCTTCGTTCTTCCAAATATAATGTATTCAAACCGAGTTGTTATAGCTTCCTTGAGGATTTTGATATTATGGATTTAGGTGATGTCTGAGTTGGCATTTACCACTTCTCTAGGATGCCATTTCACTTTTTTCCCCTTAAATTAACTTGGTCTAATGTATTTTTTGTTTATTTCCTGATATCAATATTATGTTATTGCTTTATCATGTATCTTTTTTTCTTTG